GGAAGATGCGGTGGAGAAGGACAAGGAAAGGGGTGTTCTGGCTGGTCTGCAAAGTTGCTGAGATCGCATGTCGGGAGGATCCCCGAGCGACTCAGGGCCAAAAGGCTGGAGGAGAGCACGGGTCAACAGCAGTGGACACAGCCCAGCCATGGGCTTGCACCGCGACAGGTCGGACCCCCCCCCCTCCCTACCCTCACCCCCCCCCCCCCCCCCCAAACCCCTCCCCCAAAGAACAAACACTCACCTGGAAGTAGAGGTAGCGCATGAGCACCAGCTGGACCAGGGGCAGCGCGCGCAGCATGACCCCCGTGGCCTCATCCACGGCGCCTTGCGAGTTGGCCGGCGCGGCACAGCGGCGCAGCGCCACCCACTTGTCTGCCCAGTAGAGCGCGGCCAGGCCCAGCGTGCCCAGCATGGGGGACAGGGGCAGCACCGGCCCCCACCACAGCGCCAGCGCCAGCACCATGACCGCGTTGGCGGCCTGCTCGGCGAGCGGAAAAGGCGGCGGCGCCAGCAGCGCGTCCAGCGCCGCCTGCGTGCGTGCCCAGCGCGCCAGCGCGTGCGCGCGCGTCAGCGGCCCGGGGTCGAACAGGCTGGCCAGGGGCAGGACGATCGCGTTGGCCAGCTGTGTCCAGAAGGCGCTCTCCACCAGGCCGCCACGCGAGAACCAGCTGGCGCGGTTGCCCGACGCGTAGGCCGCCAGCACCGGCACCGCAAAGGCGTTGAAGCAGTAGGCGGCAGCCAGGCGCACCACCAGCCAGCGGTGGGTGGCGGAGTGTGTCGGCCACCGCTCGTGCAGCGTTAGCTGTTTTGGTGATTTGGTTTTGGGTGGTCGTGGGTTGGGGGATTGTTAAGACAGTCGAAGGGGCAAGATGGGTAGATTGCTGACACGCAAAGATAAACATACGTATCTGGCATCGATCCTTCAAGGCACTTCCTCCTCTTCCAATGAATGGGCGGACAGTCGTTCATCGCTACCTGCGAGTCCCTTCCATCATCATTTCACCCTCGGCGCATTCCCCAGAAACCATTCCCCACCGCCCTCTCCCCTAAGCCTTCCCACCTGGCGCACGGCGGCCGTCACGCCCAGGTTGACGACCACGACGGCCAGCCCCGCGGTGGCGGACACCAGGGACAGGCGCACCGTGTCCCCCGCCGAGGCAGCAAAGGCCGCCCAGCTGTCGAAGGAGATGCCCTGGGCCAGGGAGGGGTCCAGGTAGAAGCGCGCGACGCGGCGCCGGCGCGCCGCCACGGCCGCCACGCACAGGCCGTACTGCGCGGCGGCGCCCGCCGCCGCGATCAGTGCTGTGGCGGCCAGGCTGAGTGCGCGGCGGGCGGCCAGGGCGCCGGGGCGTGGCGCGCTGGCCGCGTGCCGCCAGATGATGTCGGAGGGTTCGGGTGCGCGCGAGACGCGCACGCGTGACCCCGCCAGGCGGATGCCTGCAGGTCCGGATGCGAGGCCGGCCCCACAGCAGCGGCAGCAGCACCCTACCACCCCGTGCGCGGCGTCGAGCACCCAGCCCACCGCCCCGCCGGCGCCGCCGTGGGCGATGGCCGCGTCGGCGTGTGCCGCGTACTCGAAAGTCACGAGCGCCGAGCCGGTGGGCCGGCCGGCGTGGCGCGGCTGGCTGTACAGCGCCACCCGACGCTCGGCTCGTGCCAGGCGGGCGGCCAGGCGCGCGTGGGAGGCGCAGCCCAGCGCAGCGCAGCGGAACAGCCAGCGTTTCAAGGCGCCGAGCGGGGGCGGGGTCTGCTGCGCGGCCGATTCCGCTAGGCTACACGGGGTTTGGGGGCGGCGGAGGGCAAGAGTGGAGAGTTGAGGATGAGTGATCAGATATCCAATGCGCAGGCACCACTGTCAAGGTGAAGGTGCCGCGGGAAACCTGAATTCGACAAGGGAACAGATGTGTCACAATGGCATCCACAGCCGCAAGGCACTGGCCACTCTTCTCACCAGCACCGAGTCTTACTCCCGGGAATCCCATCAGGCCATCATCTCACAGAATACGTTCTCCACACACTGTGCCCCGCTCCCTTGCCTACCCCGTCTCGCACACCCACGCTCCCCACAGCCCCCCCTCCCCCAAGCCCCACCCCCCAGAGGCCCACAATCTCGGCCCACGTGAACCTCAGGGCCTGCGCCTCCCGGCCCCAGCGCAGGACCCCTCCCACCGCGGGGATGACCGCGCAGGCCGCCACCGGGCCATACTGCCGCGCCCAGTCGGCCAGCGGCCCGTCCTCCAGCCGCTTGCCGCGCAGCAGGACCGAGAAGCGGGAGGCGGAGAGGACGGGGCGCGCCGCGGAGCGCTTGAATCTGGCCAGGGCCGCCAGCAGTGCGGCTATCCACACCCCCGTCAGCGCCTGGCCGACCAGGAAGGTGGCCAGCTGCGCGGTGGGCACGGCGTGGGCCGCCCGCAGCGTGCCCGCGTCCACGGCCAGTGTGCAACAGCCGCAGCCGGCGGCGGCGGCGCCGCCGTCGCCGCAGGGCTGGTGCGCAGTGCACGCCGCGTCCGCCGGGTCCTCGGGGCTGGGGGCGCCGGGGGGCGGTGGGGCCTGGAGCTGCGGAGGGCTATCCGCGGGGCAGCCGGCCGAGGCGTCGTCCGCACTGCAGGTGGCCGCGCAGTCAAAGGCGCTGGCGAAGCGCGGGTCGGAGCAGTATGCGCCGACGGTGGATCGGGTGACGAAGCTGGTGGTTCGCCAGGGCTTCAGGCATGAGTAGGACATCGCCTGGAGGAGGGCAAGGGGGGGGAGGGGAGGGGTGTGACTGTCTGCAGGCCATCCATTGACACTATTTGAGGGGGTACAGTGTACCAAGGCAGCCCCCATACCCTCCATAACCACCCCCTTCTTCGATGCATCTCAGATGCCTCCTCACCCCGCTGCCGAGCTGGAGGGTGTACCTTGCAGCCCAGCCCTGGGTGCCCAGGTTGTCCACCAGGGGGTACATGTACACGACGGACAGGAGGAGGGCCAGCGCGCAGAGCCACTTGATGGTGTAAAAGTACATGCCCAGCCCCAGGCAGCCCTGGGCGATGGCCGAGGGGCCGGCACACAGGCTATAGGGCCGGGAGGTGGAGGGCACCGGCACGCCGTTCTGATCCCGGTCCTGGCGCCGCAGCTGGCGGGCATGCCGGCGCCTCAGGCCTAGAGTGCTGGGATGGGGGAATGGTGCGAGCCGGGTGCTCAGGCAGCTGTCATGTGCCAGCCAATGCTGACAAGGGGATCGACCCCGATGAGGGTGCAGAGCATGCCTGCCCTTCCCAACCTGATGATGTTCACAATCGGGCAACTCATCCTACCGGCACGGCTGATCCTTGATCCCCTGCCCCGGTGTGAGATCGGGCTTCTTGGCGGCACTGCCAATCTCCACGTCCACCACTGCATCCCCGCGACCTGTCGTGGGCACTCGGGCCCCGGCCTGCCGGTGGGTGCTCGAGTGCTCATGCAGCACCGCTTGCTGCAGCGGCCCAGGATGGGGGAGCCACGCCGGGGCAGAGGGCGCCGCGTCCGATTCCACGGAGTCGTACTCCTCCATACCTCGATGAGGCAACTCGTGGGCCATGGACGCGTGGTGCCGCCCCCTACGTCATCGGCGCCTAGAACCGCGTGTACCCGCCCCGGTACCTCGTGCGACCAAAATCAGCATTACGGGGGGTTTGACAGCGACGTCACGGATTCGTGAGATTGTGTCGATTGGATTGATATCCATACGGTTCCGTCCGGAGGGCAGGCCCTGCAACAGAACTCCGCAGCTGAATCGTATTTGAGGGCGCGCCTGCAGGGCGCGGGAAAAGACCACGCCTGCCCCACCTGGGGAGATTGAACCCAACCACCAGATACCCACCCGGTCTTGGCAAATGTAGAGTCTTGAAGAGGCGACCAGTGGTCTGATCCTGTACATCAAGGTCATTGTGCACCAATGACGGCTGCATGCTGCTGACTGACATGCTGCCACGGGGTGGAATCCAGCCACTGCTGGACAAGAGGCTTCCCTCCTTCAGAGACCCGCAGACCCCTTTTCCCCCTCAACCCCACGTCACGCCTCCAGACTGTCCATGAAGGCTCCCACATCCTCCTCGACCGCCAGGGCCAGCATCTCTGCCGCAAACGTGTCATCAGGCGCAAGCCCCAGCGCCTTCGTGGGGAGGAGTGGGCAGTGGGTGTGAGACTGACTGGCTGTGCAGAAAGTGCCCATGGTCACACAGGAGGTTGGGACGGCCTTTTCTCCCTCCTAATGTCTGAGCACCTGCCATCCCACTCGGTAGTCCCCTCCTACATTCTTTCTGCACCAAAGTGCCTCCCCCCCACCCCTCCCCCCTTCTTCCTCCTTCTTCCTCACAATGTGGTACTGCTCCACGGCCTCGCCGGTGCGGCCCTGCAGCTGGTACGTGAAGGCCAGCGCGGTGTGGGTGCCTGGGACACCGCGCCGCGCCCCCAGCGCGCGCTCAAACGCCTCCGCCGCCTCGTCCCAGCGCCGCGCCTTGCGCAGCGCATGCCCCAGATTCACCAGCGCCGGCTCCCAGGCGTGGGTGGGCGGGGGGGGAGGAGGTGGGAGGGGTGGGATGGAAGGTGGCAGCGGGGCGGTGGGTGGGCGGTTCGGCGGGCGACTGAGGTGAGGGTGCGGAGCCATGATGCTGGCGAGAAGACATCCACTGATCACCCAGCCTCAGGTCGCCCTGCGCGGGTGGCTATCCCCGCATCGAACCGACCCAAGACCCCCCTCCGCCCCACCCCAGGCCCTGGCACCACCCACCTGCCGACTGGTGGCTGGGCACGCAAGCCAGGGCAATGCGGAACCACTGGGCCGCGGTGTCGTACTGGCGCGAGCGGAAGGCCAGCACCCCCAGCTCGTTGCAGACGCCGGGGTCGGAGGGGCACATGCGCTGCGCCTGCGTCGTGGTTGGGGTGCGGGGTTGTCTCGTGGTGCGGTGGTGTAGCATCTGTTGAGATGGAGCCTCTTGGGGCATGCTCCTGTTCGAGATCATGCTGTTGAGCAGCCACCCACAACAGCCCCTGATCCCTCTAGCCCCCTGCATTTCACCCCATGCTTCACAGTCCCCAACCAGTCCACCTCAGCTCCCCGCCAAGAAGCACACCGACACCCTCCGCCACCCCGCCACCCACCTGCACCAGGACCTGCTCGGCCAGGGGGGCGTTGCTCATGGCCGCGTACTGGCGCGCCATGCCCAGCAGCGGGTCGTGCAGGCCCGGGAAGAGGCGGGACGCGGTGCGGTACGCGCCCAGCGCGGCGGCGGTCTCGCCGCAGGCGCCCAGCGCCGCGCCCAGGCCCAGCCAGGCCGGCGCGTGCCCGCGGTCGGTGCGCGTGGCGCGGGAGAAGGCGCGGCACGCCGCCTCCCCGCCCGCGGGCGTGGCCAGGTGGTAGCACCCCACCGCGTGCCAGGAGGCGGCGGCCTCCGGCGCCTCCTCCATGGCGCGGTGCGCGAGCACAAACAGGTCCTGGCGCCGGCGCAGGGCCACCCCCGCCGCGCAGTGCGCGGCCAGGCACTGGCCGGCGTAGGGGTCGCGCTGCAGCGCCTCGCGCGTCAGCGCCCAGCACTCGGCGTGCCGCGAGCGGTGCGCCAGCCAGTCGGCGCGCGCGGCCACCACGTCCACGTTCCCGGCCAGGCCCCAGCCGGGGGCCGGGGCGGCGCCATCCCCACCACCCGCCCCGCCGCCCGCCTGCTGGAGGGGGGGAGGGGTGGTGGCCAGCGTGGCGGGCTCCCTCTGCGGGCCGAGGCGGCCGGGGCTGGCGGCGGGGGCCGGAGGCGTCTTTGTCGGGCCTGGGGCTCCTGCCCCACCGGCGACCGAGGCCTGCATGTTGGGGGCCACGTTCTCCAGCGCGTCTGCGGCGACATAGGTGGGCGGGGGTGGGGGGGGAGGTGAGGGCCTGGTCCTGGTCTCTGCTGCGCATCGGGCAGGAGGAGTGACGCAGGGCCAATCCAGACAGGATCACACTCAGGATCAAATGTCCTCCGACAGGGAGAGGCCTGCGCTCTGAGCCATGCCCTGACCAATCCCCCCGCAGCGCACCAAGGGCAGCTTCCACGCGGCTGCCGGCGTCGTGCTGCCGGCTGCGTGCGGCATAGAGGAGGCCCAGCCAGCCGTGCTCGGGCGGGATGGCGAGGCTGTCCAGCAGCTCAGCCTCCTCCGCCGGGGTCAGCCGGTGGCTGCCGACCAGCGTGTGGAAGGCCTCGTAATTGAATGGGTCTGCCTGCAGCGCGGCATGGTACCAGGCCGTGCCCCGCTGGAAGTTCTCCTGGGCGTCGTACACGCGGCCGCGCAGCATGCACACCACAGAGAGGTAGCTGACAGTGCCGGGCGAGGAGGGGGGCAGGGCGCCCAGCTGCAGGTCACCGGGACCCGCGGCCTCCTCCCCGCCCAACAGCTCCAGACACTCGTCCAGCTCCCCGCTTGCCAGCATGCACCTGATGAATCACAGATTGATGATTTCCTAGGTTGACGGGGTTGCCCCTCTTTATAACAAAGTATGACAAGCTGTGTCTCTGAACCCCTGCAGCCCAGGTGCCACCCTACACCTGTCGGCAGGCTGCCACCGGTGACCAGCATTCCCTCCGTGCCAGTCACCGCACCTGAACATCCATTCTTCTCACCTGGCAGCCAGGTATCGTATTCGCACATCCTTGTCCAGGAGCTGGGTGGTGCGGAGCAGGTGGAGACAGCGCCGGTGCTGGCCCGAGCAGTAGAAGCCTTGTGCCAATGTGTAGACCTCGGCTGGCGCATGGTCTGTCAATGTCACCAACTTATCCGCAAAGAATACTGCGGCATCGTACATGTGCTTCGCCAGGCAGTCGTGAACCAGGCTGCGCAGCTGGCGCAGAGTTTCGACCTGCATTGCAGGTGCACCCAGTGTGCCGCAGTCAGGCCTTGTCTTCTGCTCAGCGCTGCAGATGTGTACTCACATCGCGGTCGGTTGCACGTCCATCCATCGACACGTAGCATGGGTGGGTTTGGAACTTGCATTGCTCCATGCCGACCGATCCTGTTGTTACTCTCGGGTAATTTGAGTGCGTCGGTGGGGAAGGCCGGAGGAAGGTGGGAAAGTGCTGCCCGCGACCCCATTCGACTCCAGAAAACACTGGTCTGATGAGGCAGGCACCCTTTGCGACTTTGCTCAGAATGCAACAGAGACTGATCACCTCGTCATGCATCCTCACCCACCTTCCATTACCCTTTATTAGACTGCGTGGGCTCTCTGCTGGCCTTTCACACACACCACCTGTTCCGTTCAGAGACGAGCTCATTGGGATCTACAGGCGACACAAACATCAAGTAGGGGCAACGATGAGTCCTAGCAGGTATCTTCGAGGGATTTGAATGCATGCATGAACCTCCTGCATTGCATTGCCCTGCTTTGTAGCCATGTGATGAGAGGTGGTGAGCTGGGAATAAGTATGAACGAGACCTGCCGAGGAGGCAGACTACCTTTCGAACAAATATACATCTGCACCATTGTCTAGGTCTATCATTCATCGCAGAGCACCTTCTGGCATGGATGCCGCACAACAATCTGATGTCCACATCTCCGCTGCATGTGATGGGTGCGCAACATCGGGGCTGCGCATGCTAGGCCCCAGCATTCCTGCACACGAGCTGAGCTTCAGAGTGCACTTGTACTGAATGAGATCTGAAAGCATCGGTGCCTGCTCTCAGGGGCAACATCGAGTTTGGCGGCACAAACAAGCAAGGCGCCTTCGACCTCAGCATCCGGCCGGACCCGTTCTGCCCCTCAGACAATGCAACACACTTCCAGTGAGGAGAAGAAGGGGGTTCTAGGTATGGATTCTGAAATATTAACACTGGAGCCTTCTGTAACGCCAATTGCTCTGCGGCCCTGATGCGGCAGTCACCTAGCCGCCCGCAAGCCTTGCCGTTGTCATAACCCATTCACCCACCAGGTGGTTCAACTTCCGGGCCTCCAACCTGGCACGTGGCACGCCCTCTACCTTCAACATCACCAACGCGGGGCAGGCCTCCTTCCCGGGCGGGTTCAAGGATTACGACGTGGTTGCCAGCTACGATGCCTCCATTTGGTTCCGGCTGCCGGCCTCCTTTGATGGCAAGGTCCTGAGCTGGACCGTGGAGCCCAAGCACCCCTCTATGCACTTTGTGAGGAAACGGGCACCATGCAGGCATGCCAGGATGGGTGCATGCTCCAGAAGCTCTGAGCATAAACCCGGCGTGCGACTTGCAAGCTTGCCCCTGGCATCCCTGCGCTGCTGCGACGATGACCCTCATCAACTTCTTGTCCATCCCGAGCAGGCGTATTTTGCGCCCTACCCCTCCCAGCGCCATGCTGAGCTGGTGGCGGAGCTGCAGCAGGTGGACGGCGTCCAGCTCAGTGTCCTCGGTCAAACGCTGGACGGCAGGGACCTGGACCTGCTGCAGATAGGTGTGTTGTTCTGGTCTCTGTCGTGATGATTTCCGGGCCAGGAGCAGAGCTGGGTCAGGGGTGTTGGGCAGCTGCATCGCAGAGTTAGGACCATGTTCAGGACCGGCACCCTCCCGTCCCCCAACCCAGGCACGCCTGGAGAAGGGAAGCGGGTGGCGTGGATCATTGCGCGGCAGCACCCCGGTGAAACCATGGCAGAGTGGGCAGCCGAAGGTGCGGAGGGGGGGGAGATAGATTGGTGGAGGCGTGGGTGTTGTGAAATGAGGTTTCCGAGTCGGATCACCCCTATTCATTCCTCGTAACCCAAGCATCCAGGAGTGTCATCTGAAGCACATGCCACCCCGTGCGCTTAGTGTCAACTCCGCCCGCCATCTGCATGAACTGTCTGCTGCAGGGCTGCTGCGGCGACTGACCGACCGGCACGACCCGATCTCCCGTGCCCTGCTCCAGTCCACCGTCTTCTACGTCGTGCCCAATGTGAGAGCTGCTGTGTGAAGGAAATGCCAAGTGGCAGCCTGGAATCGTCAGGTGGCCTTGCTGCAGTGCAATGAATAAGAGACTCATGGGCTCACAGGCTTGCCAGACCAACCCCGCACCGTGCTCCGCAATGCACAGATGAACCCGGATGGGTCGGCGCGCGGCCACCTGCGGACCAACGCCGCTGGAGCCAACCTGAATCGGGAGTGGGCTGAGCCCAGCATGGAGCGCTCCCCTGAGGTCTTTTGCGTGCGGAATGCCATGGATCGGACGGGGGTGGATATCATGGTGAGTGGAGAGTGCGGGTGTGGGAGGGCATGGCAGGAACTGTCGTGCCGGCATGGGTGGAGGGTGCATCCTGGCCGGGCGGTGGCAGCCAGCTGCCCATGCTGTGGCTGGCTTGATGTTACGTGCTGGGTGGCCTGACGAGGGGTGTGCTGGGGTGAAGAGGTGTGCCGCGCAGGTTGTGGAACAGGGCTGAGTCCGGGCAGCGACGCACACTGACGGTGTGCAGGGTGCCCAACCCCCCTATCGGCACGATACCTCTATCCATTGCCGCCCAGATCGACATCCACGGGGCCGAGGCGCTGCCCTACAATTTTTTCGTTTCCTCCAGCGCCATTCCCGGCTGGACGCCCCGCCTGGCAGACCTAGAGGCCGCCCTCTCCGCCGCGCTCGTGGTGGCAAACCCCGACTTCCAGACGAGGGTGGGGTACCCCCGCGGGGCGCCTGGGAAGGGCAACCTCAGCCTGGGAAGCAAGCAGGTGGGGCAGGGGAAGGTACTTGGGGAGCCGCCACTTATATAAATCGCTGACGCCGCACCTGTGTGAACAGAGGAGTGCTGCGGGTCATGAGCATGAAGTCCATAATCACCTCTCGACCTCCTCTCTATTGCAGGTGGCCCAGAGGTTCGACTGCCTGGCAGTGACCCTGGAACAGCCCTTCAAGGACACCAAGGAGACACCTGACAAGGAGTTTGGCTGGTCGCCGCAGCGTGCGCAGCGCTTGGGCGCAAGCCTGCTGGATGCCATCCTGGCCGTGGTGCCCAAGCTGCGATGAGGTTCATTTGGAAGGCATGGTTCCATGCAGGAATTCTGTTGATCAATGGGTATGGGAGATTGGATAACAGGGAAAGGAGAGGTGTGATGCAGCAGGATCAGCCCGGTGCAGTAAACATTCTCAGCTTGGGAGTATGGCACCATGGCTCCCGGGAGTGAGCGCGCCTCAACTAGGGTGGGATCCCAACTCTGCCGATTCGAGTGTTTCATCAGGTTCATCCCTGGCATTGCACGGCCAAAAGTACATTACAACATGCAGCATCACATCCAATCGCCCAGAAGTGAAGGCATACGCGAGGGCAAGATCCTTACAGGTAGACCTCCATGCCGGATTCAGGTGTTCCGGCATGGAGTCCATGTCCGGATCGGGGTCCGATCCCGCAGCAGCGTTCGACATCCTGCATATAGCTGTATACAACGATCATCGCCGGACCCTGGAGCCGAGGGTGAGCTGTCTCGGTGCTCCTTGGCCTTGCGTGCTGAGGGGCAGCATGGAGTCAGGAGAGCCCATGCATGGGGATGGCTGCAGCATGCCACACTTTGCAATTCCCGGCACTCTCAGCCCCATGTCCATTTACCTACACACCACGCAATGCTTCGCCCGCTGCTCCCTCTACCAGGCTCCAACTTGGCCTCCCAATTCGATAGACACGTACTGGACAAGGGATGGACAGCGATGCCGCGGCGGACCCCATCCCCCCTCCTCTCCCCCGGAGCTGTCATCTCGGCCCAACTAGAGGCCCTGCAGAGGAACGACTGGCCTGAGGAGGGCGCGGGTGTGGCCACCGCCTTTGCATTCACACTCCCAGCAAGTGCAACGGAGGCGGGGGCGCTGGACTCGGTGAGGAGGAAGCTTGTTGTGCTTGCGGGTGCTCATGGGTTGGCGGAGTGGGCTGGGGCACACACTTTGCAAGCAACACTCCTACCTCAGCACAAAGCATGCAGCAGCTTGAGGAGGCACTGGCAAAGCAGGAATCGGATCTCCATGGCCACCTCACCGCAGACGGGTGCTGTGGCGGTCTCACGGTGGAGCGGGGAGCGAAGCTTCGTGCCCCGACCTGCCTTTGAGGAGCTGGTGCGTGCGCCACCCTTCAGCGTCCTACTAGGCTGCGACTCGTGGAAGGTGTTTTCAAAGTGTGGTGGCTACTTTCCTTTAGCGCACCCTGATGCTGCAAAGAGCACTTCTCTGATGCAGTCCCGACTCAAAGTCTGGGGTGTCTTCACCCAAGCGCATTCCGCCTTCCACCCCCCTGTACAGGTGGCGTCCCCCGTGGTCTTCCCCAGCTCCCGGCACAGCGACCGAGCAGTTCAGGCCGTCCATGTGCAGGCCGCAGGCACGGGCAGGACCCACACCTTCACCTTTTGCCTGGTCAGGGCAGGGCCGGGGTCTCACAAGGTGCGCCAGGATTGGTATGCATGGAGTGACGACCGCGTGCTACTTTCAGCAAGATAATGGGGTTCAAATTCTTGCTCACTGCGCTCTTACCTTCATGCGTGCTTGGCTTGGTGCCGACCTGGGACCTCCTGACCAGGGCATGACAGGATATCAGGCCATCCCCGACAATGTCACGACCCAAAATCGTCCTGCCACAGGACTGTTGGATGACGTCCCGTGTCCTGATGGGCGATTACGGGAACGTATAGGCGCCTGGCATTGTCAAAGAGCACTCGCTCGAGGCCCTGGTGGTGATTGGCTGTCCCTTCCCAAACCACCCATCCTGCCCCTGCGCCATGCGTCGTCATGTGGTTACAGGGCAGCCCGGGAAATCTTCTCAAGCATCATTTGGTACATGGAATTGTTGGCGTGAGGGAGTGGCATACTGAGAGGAGGTTGGGAACCAGGCGCATCAGGGGTCTGCACACGCACGTCGGATGCCAGTGAACACCGCGGGGG